TGTCCGGTCCTGCCACAGGGAGCTGTTTGTTCTTCATCTTGGCCTTGGCCATGTTGTAATCTCCTGAGTCAAAGTACTTTTGCTGTGAAAGAAGAAGAAGAAAAGACACGCAATTCTTCAGCCGAGGCACAACAGAACCCCCCCCCAGGTGAACTGAGGCACTCAGTGACTCGGTTCACGCGTCGACAGTGGGCCGTGCATGGGCCTCCGCAGGGATCGTCACATCTTCAGCTTCACAGTGAAATTCATTTTAGTCTGAAGTTACGTAACTATCAATCATTCTCTGCTGGTGTTTGGAATCGTGCGGTGAAATGCTTCACTTTCTTTTTGAATCTTTTCCCTGATCCTGCTCCGGCTACTCCCACTGCCGGCCCGCGACTTCCCACAGTGACTTCAGCAACCTCCAGAGGTGCAAGTTCTCTGCAGCACGCAGAGCATGTGGAGGTGGAGACAGCTTAGCTTTAGCCAGTCATTGAAAACTGACGAGGCAGAGAGAGAGAGGCCTGGTTACTCAGCTCTGAAAATACTAATTATTTCTACCCCATTTGCTGGATGGGCAACCTGCTGGTGTAACTAATGCCGCTGTGGAGTGCTCCTGTCCACAGAGGTTTGCTCTCTCATTGTACAGATTGTGTAACTACTGTCTGCTGTGTTTAAGATGAAATGTTCAGAGAAGGAGGGCATGAAATACTGTCCGTCCCTACTTTTAGAAAAAACAACATTCTTTTAACAACGTTTTCTCTCAAGGCGTAACCTGACTTTACTAAAAGCACCAGCTCAGTCCAGTTGATTTTTCACACACACCTTCATTGGACATTAAGCCTGTTGTCATAATCCTGTAACTGATTACACTGTGGCCAAACCTGACTCTCTCACCCCTTTCTGTAGTCTCTTCATCAGGAAGTCGGAGCCCCCAGGCTTCTGGCCCAGGCCGGGGTACTTGGCCTTTAGCTTAGCCTCCTCTGCCTTCACTGGGTTTGCATTCTTCTCCTGAGAGTCCTGTGGACACAAGACAGAAATGTTCCATAAAGAAAAGAACTTGTTTTGCAGGAAACGGCGGCCCTTCAGTGTCAGCTGAAATGGCCGCAGGAAACCGAAGAGCTGGTAATGTGACAGGCACGCATACATTATCATTCCAGTTTCAGAAATGCTGGCACCTTCACAAAAGCAGCACAGTTCATCTACTGTGGAGCAAGGGTTCATTTCACTTTGAACAGCTCTTTAAGTAAGGATGTGTCCCACCTCTGTGACATGAGAACAGCTTTTGGACACGACCGGGAGTTAACGATTTTTTTTCTTCTTATTTTCATTTTCCTTTTGAAGGACCCGTGGAAGCTTATCCTGTTGACAAACAACACTCCCTGTTTGCAACTTCAGTCCATGACGAAAATATGATTATTCTAAACCATTACTGCTAAGCATAAATGCTTTCAATTTAGAAGATTTATCATTTTTTGTCACTATGAGCAAAAGCTTCATATCATATCTAAAAGATAAATTCTCCCATTTCAAGTTAAGAAACTTTCTATTTAAAAGATGTCGTCTAGCACATACAATGCTGGGTGGAGGCTGCAACTCATTTGGACAATTGCAGTGTTGATAATGCCTCTGTTGAGTAACTCCAGCAAAACTGGTCAAACACCCTCCATCAAAAGCCCATTCCAGGTTAATACTGAGGTCACCTTTCTTAAACCTGTCTGTCAAACCAAACAAACAAGAAGTTGTGAAATTGACACAAGACAACAGAGGACAAACGTCAAATGCTCTTTTCAAATACCTGGAGGAGACAACACACAGCAAAGGCCTATTGCGACTTTGCAAAAAAAAAAAAAAAAAAGAAGAGGACTCAGTAGGTAAAGCTTGGTGGGGCAGGCATAAAATGTGACTCAGGACACAGAAGCCGATGAACAGATTCCCTCAGGAGGAGGGAAGACGTGTGGCACAGAGTGTGCTGATTCACTTAGGTCCATGGCGAGAAATTTATGAGTTACTATATTCAGTCCCAATGCAGGGAAACTGCAATATCCATCCACACGTTCTGTTGGCTCAGTGTTACATCTTCACACTGTTATGTGCACAATTCGGGCATTTCTCTCCGGAAGCTTTCCAATGTTATTTGATAATTCAACTCTGTGTGACCGGATAGGTTTTGCTATATAGTTTGTTCCCGCATCAAACCGGGGCCGTGTTTATTACAGCTACGAAAACGACTCCAGCGCCGGTTTATTTAACACGACTGTAATAAAAGACATGTTTACATCCATCACTTCAAACCCACATTAATGGCATATATTTGAGCATTTGATGGAAATAAAAACTAATTCACAATGGTTTTGGCAGCATTAAGTTTCAGAGGGACATTTTGACACTCCTTGACACAATATAATTGAATTTCATATGCAGTAAAATCCACAGCTTGTCAAAGGAACATAAATAAAATCCATGATCTACAACTGTGAAAACGGGAAGTTTGACAGCAGAAACCTGATTTATAAACTTTTCAACCAACGTAAATGGTGTGCTGTTGGGGGTAAACATTGGTCAGGACTCAATATTCTGTTCCTTTTCAAAAAGTCAACTCAACTATGAGCATTTTAAAAACAGGCCCAACACTGGTAGGAAAAGTAATGATCATTTCTCTTGATGTCTTTTGATATTTTCTCTTGCTGCTTTGCATATGGGACAAGTTGGCAAAATAACACAAAACCTATGCTGCTTTTAACTACTTGGTGACATACCGGTCCAACTAGTGTGGTTAGTGGCACTGAATGCAGATGCTAAAAACATACTGCAGCTGGTTGTCCCTCTCAGGGAAAAAAAAATGAAGAATCAAGAAATCGTGAGCCTTTGAGACAAAAGCAGCGTTCAGTGCAATCGTGCAACAAAAAGGATTTTACTATTCAATGTCAATCAAATATATATTTTTTAATGTTATACATTATTTAGAGGTTGCAGGCTGCATGGGGCAAGTTTCGAGAACCCCGGGTACAGACCAATGAGGCCCAAGCTGTAGTGGACTCGCCAACCAATGACACTTAGCAAGTGACAAAACAAAGTGACACAACGATTGGGTCCACTGAATCGAATGACAGTTACGGCATCTTACATATCTACCACCCAAAAGCAGCTGTGCATGTAACCCAAAAGCTGTCCTTTGTTTGATGCTGTCCTAAGCATAGTGCAAACATTTCACTTGTGCTAACTCTTTTTAGCCACTTCTAGCTAGCATGTTTCGGCGGTTAGCAATAAGCAACCCACCTGTTTTTCCTCCTCGTAGTCCACTTGTGTGTCCGTGTCGAGGTTTTCTGACGACATTTTCTGAAGGTGCTGGACAAGCAAGTGTTCCGTTTGCCAGGCAACTGAAAGGCTTGATTAAACGAGGTACCGTAAGATGTACATGCACTGGACCTAACACTGCTTTTCGGAACACGACTGCTCCCCAACAAAAATGGCGTAACTCGATGTGACATCATCATAAGAGGGGGCGGTTGTGGTTGTAATTGGCAAATGTAATATCCAATAGAAGAGTAGTAAGACTTTAACTTACACCAATAGAATGCAGCTATTCGCAAAGGGACCAGTGATTGACAGCTCATCGACCAATAGCTATACAAAAAGATTACTTGAAGCAATGCGGGGGCAGTGCTGCACTGCATCAACACAAATTACCTTAACAACACAGTGGATATAAAATCAATAAAACTCCTCATTTTTTGTTGAATGTTATTCAATTTACACTATAAAGTTTACTTTAATTGAGAGAATGGGTGGCCATATGTATTAATGTTTTTTGCCTTTGCCCCCAAGTTAGTCTCCCTGCATTGTGATTGGCCTCTTCTCGATGAACCGTTTAGTGCCCGTCAATCAAATAATCAACGGAAGAGTATTGAGGGTCTTTTTAACGTTAAGATTGCATATAGAAAACACAAAAAGGTTAGCACTCAGATCTGTAATTAAACACGACATTACTTGATTGTATTTCAGAGTACATTATTTTAAAGCAGCAGTCTAGTTTGGAGATATTCTATTTATAGTCCTATGGAAGTTTTCTCTAATTTATTATAGTGAGTTTAGCTAGCTAAAATGTTTGCTAATCCATTTACTAGTCGTCCACTTACTCACAATTCTGTTCTAATCTTTGCAGAATCTTTTCAATTTTATTTTTTCACCACAGCAATGGCGTGTGTGCAACAAGTGAAGCCTTCACAGGTAAAAGGGATCTAACCTGATATATTGTTAATATTAAAAAGTTTGCTATATTACGAGGGCAGATAGCCTTTAAACCAAATGATGGACATCTTCAGTAGTAATTGTTACTAGACTGAATATATGTACTTTGAACTCCACGCGTCTTATAAATGCTTGATAAATGTTTATCCACCTTCAAAACTCACAATTCAAACTGCACAATCTTTGTGAACCATTTTGAGTCCTCTGGTCGTTGGTGATGATGAACGTTGTCGACCATGTTAAATTGCTAGGTCAGAAAACAGTTGCCTGATGTTACATTTAGTCAGAAACCAGCAAATTAACCATTTCAATTCCAAAACCAAGCGATGAATACTTGGTTTATTACTTATCTAAGTTAATAATTTAAACCTGTATCCCTCAGCCTGTATCTGAACTTTTATCTGAAGAAAAAAAAAATCTATAAAGTGACAACAACTATTTGCACGACTGTAAATTCAATAAAGGCTTAGTAAACATTTATGCAGGTTTAAAAAATAGACAAGCTATTGTCAGAAAGCGGAGGCAAAATATTTTTTATCGGATGAGGATTCCTTGCGCTGTTGTTGATGAAGGGGAAGCTGGCAGTATGAGCTTCTTTTTCTTATACGATAAGCGACAACGCATCTGCTTTCTTTGTCTTCCTCATGCAGTCTACTCAGCTGCTGCCTAATGAGGTTGCGTCTGAGCAGCAGTCCCTCGTTGTTGTAAAGAGGCTGCTGGCCATCGCCGTGTCCGGCATCACATACCTCCGGGGGATCTTCCCTGGAAGAGCCTATGGGAGCAAATATGTAGAAGGTTTGATCACTTTAAAAAGGAAAAAACAAATTCTGTTGCCTATTACATTTATCATTTGCGAATATTCACGAAGATAATTCCTACCTCTCTTTTCCTCACAGATCAGCAAGTGATGATCCTTAAAGGGGACTGTCCCGGTGCCTCTCAGATACTTCAGTGGTAAATTTCTCTGACTCCTCAGTCGTTAGCTAGACCCATTGTCATTTGAGATTTGAGAGAGTTATCTGTAAAATATGTCTCATTATACTTGGCAAACAAGTATATCACACCTATTTGATCTAAACGCCTCATCATTGCTGTACTGTTTTGAAATAGAGAAAAGACTCTCACAGGCTATAAACAAATATGACAGAATGAGCACAACATGTGAATTAGTCTTGTTGTGCTGTTGTTTATTGATCACTACATTTGTAGCACTTCAGATCAGTGGTGGTCCACTAAGCAATTATTGAGTTTAAAAAGAAAAGGAGAGCAGGGAATATGTTAAGAAACAAGTTACATTCAGAGACAGAAAAAAGTATGTATATCTTAAATAGTAAAATCTTAAATTCCGAACGTGGTTCACAGATCACTTTTGCATGTTTTAAGCGTTAACATTTGGCAGGTAAGTTTAGCACAAATTCAGCGGTCATTGGTTTTTGCAAAAATCTTTTATAGAAACAAATAAATAAGTATGTACATTGTTTTCTAATTCTTCTAGGATGCAGGGATGCTTCGATGCCATCCAGAAGAAATATGTAATTCACACTTTTAGCCTTTTCCTTCCCACTCTCTTCCATTCTACTCATCTACTTTGCCTTTAATTATTGTGATATAGTAGCTTATGCAGTCTTTTTTTGTTTGTTCCCCACCAGCTACGGACAGTTATCATGTCGGTGAGTATTATTATGCTAATCTTTAGCTTTGACCCAGTCTGTTTGAGATAAACAGACTCTGAATAATTTCTGTTGCTGATAGTTTTTTATTTGTTCACATTCTCAGATTTATACTGACCCAGAACACCCCAAGGTACTTTTCATGTCTGTCTTTGTCTATCAGTCCACTTGTTATAATGATAACTTTATTGAATGTGTTGCGATAAATCTTAACTCTTCCAGAAGGTGACAGAGTATTACCAGTTTAGGATCCAGTACACCCCAAAAGGTGCACAGATGGAGTTTGAAAGGTATGTTTGTGCTTGATAGTTTTCGTACACGGACATTGAAAAAAAGTTAAAAAGTTGCTCCACATTTAAATAAAATGTAACCTGAGCACTTACAATATATAACCCTCACCTTTAAAGAATCCAGACCTGATGGTTTATTTTCTTTCCCATAAGCAAAAATAACCAAAAGGTTTCCACGATGTCGTGTGGAAACACTAAGAAAGCCAGCATCCTGCTGGTGAGGAAGCTCTACACCTTGATGCAGAATCTAGGTCCTCTGCCAGAGAATGTCTGCCTGAACATGAAGCTGGCTTACTACGATGATGGTAAGAGGCAAAGAAAAAGTAATTATAACAACAATTTCATTCAGTCATTTATAAAATGAATGACCATAATAAGCTACATGAGTATAAATGTGTATAATTGTAGTTAATCACAGGTGCAGTTTAAAGATAATCTATGAACATCAACATTTTTAGTTGTAATTAGTTTTACAATGTTTCTTAGTGCGTAGCTACAGATACCTAAGCCCTGAGCCATAGTGATATATTATTTCTTAAAGAGCCTTCTGTGTGCTATTATTTCCCAAAAACCTGAAAGAGGAGGATAAGGCAGCATTGATTTATTTGCAAGCAATCTGCAACTTTACCACTAGATGTCACTGCATCACACACATCAACTACAGGCACTAATGCTCATGGGCTTATAACAGAGATTTGTCTGTCTTTTTTGTCTCTTCTGTAGTCACTCCTCAGGACTACCAGCCACCAGGCTTCAGGGAGGCAGACAGCGATGTAATGGAATTTGAGCTGGAACCAATCAAGCTGACCATGGGGGAGGTTGTCACCCCCTTCCACTGCATGAAGTTTGACATGGCCACAGAAAAACAGAGACTGGAGCAGGTGAATTAACTGAAGCCCCACACACTGTGATAGCAGGGTAGAAAAGGCAAAGTTACATCTCTTTGCTTTTGACTGTGGTTGTCTTCCCACTGAAGAAAGTGTCCTTGGACAAGACAATGAACACATCATCCAAATGTTTGTTGAATTATGATTGTTTAGAATGATTGTTTCCTTAAGATTCCTATAGATTGTTTCCTTAAGACGCCACTCCTGATGTCTCAGGAACTCATTCACACCTGTGCGTGCTGCTAAATGTCTACAGGTGGACGAGGGCACTCCTGTGAGGGAGAAGTTGACTCTGAAAATGAAGGAAGGCATGATCTTAACTCAGGTCTGAACATGTAAATGTGTTTTATTTTTTTATGATCTGCACGTGAGAGGTTTATTTTGTTATTTTTAAGGGATCAGTATTACTGTTTCATGTCATTCAGCAAATATGATCTGCCTTTGTAAGAATTCAACTTACCCTATATTTAAAGAGGCACAGTTCCAAATTTTGGAAAGAGAAAGAGCACTAATGCATGATGCTGCCTGTTCTGACTCGTCCTTCCATGCATTGAGAGTCCTCTTTTGTTGTGATGTTTTCAGTTAGGAATTTGTTTGCTGCTTGGGGATATAAACATGTGCCGTGAGAACGTTTGAAAAATGTCAGTTCCATGAGATTTTGCAGGCGTGCAACTCAGGTCATGACCAGCCCGGCTCAAAAGAAGCCGTGTCAGTTCGAAAGGATGGGCTTTGGCATTAAATATGACCCTATCACAGAATGGCCACATTCTAGATGCATTTTAATGGAAGGTGTATATTTATGGTGTCTATCAGTTCCAGTCTTCAGAGCCCTCCTGACTTGAGATGGATCAGTTTGTGAGAGGCTTCAGACACAAAACTTGCGTTTTACACAATGATTTAGCAGAAGTTTTTGTCCAATGCAGCTTACATGAGAGGAAAAGAGTGATGTTATCACATGAATATGCTTTAAGGGAGAAGTTTGACTGTCTTCTGGAAGCAATTATGACAACAGTCGTCTCCAGTCAGTGTGAAAGAAGCTGACCTGTTCCTTTCTTACACTCAATACATGCATAATGATAGCACTTCTGCAGGTGAGCTAACATGTTTTGTCCTTTAGAATCACGTCTCCAAAGAAGTGGAGCTTAACAGTGAGAGCATAAACCTGGATAGCCAAGGTAGGTAAAACCTGAAGGCCTTCAGGGTTCAGTCTGGTCTTGTCTGACAAATCAAACAGACAAATCTGTAGATTTTTCTCTGACAGACCATTTAAGTGTTTATATATATATATATGTGAAATGTGAGGGAAACTGTTCTCTCTTTCTGTTTTTCATGGGTCAAGAAATCCAGATGAGCTGTCATGAGAAGATTGAGACTTCTAAGGAAAACACAGAGGTGCATCTGACAGTAACTGAACCTTCTTCAACAGATGTTGAACACAACACGATTCAAAGCTGCAGGGGGGCAGACTTCCACGTAAAAAAAAACTGTCTAAAGTCCTAGCTTGAAGTGTTTTGATTCGCTTTAACTGGAAACTGGTGGTAAGGGGATCAAATATAAAAGGCTGAAAAGGAAAGCTGTTCCCGATCAGCGGCGACCACAATTTAAACATTAGTTTCAGAGGTTTTAACTGCAGTTCTCACTTGAGGATGTTGGAGTGAATTCAGATAAACAAAGAGCCTCTCAGCAGGTCACAGGTGAAGGATGGCTTAGAGCTCAGTTCAGACGATAAGCAGTTAAAGGCAGCCTGCTTGACGTACCGTCTCCCCCCTTGTTAGATGGACTCTCTTGTGAAGGAAACCTGTGACATGGAGGTGGGCCTGAAGAGGACCAGAAGTGGACGGATAATAAAGTCCACAACGGTAGGTCAGCTACTCAAAACTCAACCAGCAGGGCACTAGAAAACAGCCCCGGTCTAAAAAGCTACCGCTTCCTCTATAAATGTAAGTTACCAAAACTGCATTCGTCCAATTCTTTAGAGTTATATTAAACCCCTTCCTTCAGGCAAAACCGGATGTTATTGGTCAGCTTTTTCCTGTAATGCGGTTGTGCTAGGGTTGCATTCTCTCCTTCAAACGATTTTACTCTCCCACCTTACTCTTGAGGAGCCTAAAGCCGCTGTCAGGGCATAGTCACATGACCTCTGGGGGTTTGCTGGTAGTTGACCTCCATCCAGCACTTTCCAGACTTTCCTGTGGGGTTGGGGGTCCCTCTGCCATGGGGTCTCCATGTCTAGCAGAGCACGAACACACGCTTTCAGCACGTTTGAATAAATGTCCATCAGGGTTTTCAGGGCATGTGTGTGTGTGTGTCTGTGTGTGTGTGTGAGCAGGAGACAAACGTGACCCTCAAGAGCAAGCAGTCGGCAACAGTGAAGGACAAAATGGTGACTACCTCCTCATTTTTATGTTATATCTGACCATATACATATAATTTTACATGTATCATAATTTTTTACGAGCTTTTCATAAGAACTAAAGCTTTTCATGATGCCTTTGTTTTTTACATTTTTGTGTGCCTTTGACCTATTTTTATCTTCTATGCATTTTTGCGGACTAGTGCCTTAATATGCAGCTGTTGTAATATGCAGGACATGGGCGGAAAAGGGTCCACACATGAAGCACAGCTCAGTTTAGAGAAGGCTGCACATTTGATTTCAAATGAGTCATGTGAAGTTGGACGTAAAAAAAGATGCGCTCTGCACATTTATCCTGAATTCGCAGTGGAAAAAGCGTAGGAGGCCTGTTTAGTGCACAGATGAGTCACCTGGTTCGTCAGAGTGGGACGCTGCCTGTTGGTCGACACATAGAAACATCGCGGTTAACTGATTCTCCTGCCATCCTCAGGTTTCTCAGTATGACGTTCTCAGCAGCCAGGAATCGTTGGCTTCCTCCACAGCTAATAAGAAGCGCAAATTCAGCGAGCCGAAAGAGCACTACTGAGCCGCTCCGCCCATTTGGTCTCATCTTTTTTTACACTCGGAACACAAGTTATGCAGTTTGCATTTGTTTTGAAGAGAATCCTACTTTGTTTAAACATGTTAAAGAAATATTCTAAGGTTAGTCCTAATGGACACTCTTTAAGTCACTCAGTGTGGTTTAGTTTGCTTGAATGACTGAAATGTGTTGCTACCGCTTACATCATTCATAATTTTTACTGGAATACTGTGTGACAGTTACTTTTTAATGGCTACGTGTGCTTTTTTGTCGCCATTGTGACTGGCTTGTCATTAATATCGTTTTGTAACTTTCAATAAATGCCTTTAAAAAAGTTTAATTTGTGTTTTCAGTGACAAGAAAAGGATTGGAAACCTTGTTATTGAAGAGAACGCGCACATTAGCATAACGGAGGCTTTTCTCACTAGTTGTGCATATTAAGTGAGACATGTGTGCTGTAAGCTTCTGTTTAGATATTTTAAACTGTGTTCTTGTACAGGTCGCCTTTGTCTCTAATGGAGGGAAATGAGTGAACGTAGAACTGTGCTGATAACTGTAAGACGCTTTCTTGATTTGGAAAAAGAAAATATAGACGTCTGCCAGATTCCTGCCTATAAAAATGGTCTCTCGGGTACAGAAATGCCCAAAAAACCAGCCCCGGTCAGAAACGCCTCCATTTGCATGTGAGGTGCCTTAAAGAAGCTGTTAAGTGAAAGTGGATTATATCTGTACACAGTGACCTTTGGACCCAGATAAGGGCCCATCAGCAGCCTCCCGCCTGGCAAGCTGTGTGTTTTTAATCTCCCATTGTTTTTCCCAGAGAGAGGGACATTTGCTGATAGACTGCCTTAACCCTCTGCGGATCAATACTGCAGGAAGCCTTTGTGATGCATATCCAAGCAGCTCCTCCCCGTGTCTGCAGCAGGCCAGAGGGGGGGGCAGAGGAAGAGAGACTCCATCAAATCAGTCCTCACTTCCTAACAGCGCTTCCGTCGGTCATCACGTTTAATTCATAGTCTGTGTTTTTTTTTATGGGCATTTCGGATAACGGACAGGCATAAAACGGAGCGGTCTGGGAAAAGCCACGGTGGACCAACCCCACACAGCCACGGTGCATCGATGCTCTTTATGAGCTGTGAAATGAATCAGGGTTACCTAATCTCTCAGACTGACGCCTGTGGCACTTGTCAACCCTTTCTATTAATTTAACAGCTGCGTGTATTGATGTATGCCGAATGCAGAGACATGTTAGCCAACATCACTGCTATATGCTTCACAGAAATGAAATAAGAAATGTGTCCTAAATGACAACATGTAAACTTTCTTTGTGTGACAGATCAGAAAGGACAAATCAGGATAGGATGTAGACAAATTTCAATCACATTTTAGTCAAAAATGGATAGAATCCCGGGAGTGTGTCCCGTTCCAAATATATAACAATTTCCAGGGAGAAGAAATCAGAATTGTGTTTATATGTCATCTCTGCCCCTCGATCCTTCACTCAGATCCAGGGACATTTCATCATTTCTGTACACACACGTCTCCCAGAAATGAATTCTGAAATTAAATTCAGGGACACACGTCCAGCGGCCCGTGTTAACAGATCAATCAGCTGGTCAAACAGGAGACGGGGGGCCCGCCGGACGCCTCCGTGGGCCAATCACAGATCCGGGGTTCGGCCCGTCTAAAGTCGATAGCGACGGTCCAGGGCCGCCTGTGCGCGTTCAAGGCAAGACACACTGACCGGCTGATGGACAGACAGCCGCGCTGCCTCCCAGGGCTCTGTATAGATTAAAGCTAGCTTCTGTGAGCCTATAGTGGAGGTGCAGTGATTGTGCCTGCAGGGTCTATAGGCCCCTGGGGGGGGGGCTGGGTTCTCCGGGAGGAGGGGGGAGGAGCGTAGAACAGAGTGGACGTCCAGCACAGAGAGCGTGACCCCTCTGACCTTGCCAGAAGGGCAGCAAATGTTTCCGAGCTGATTAGCGCTTCCCCAGCAGAGGTACCCGGCTCACCGCTAACCCTTCGGAATCAGATAGCGAGAGGAGATTTGAAGGAAATCCATATTATATGCCAGTCAGATCACAGAGTGGAGGGGAAAAATATGAGAAAACGGAATCACAAAGTGTACTGTACGATCAGAACCAGCGTGGTGGTGGAATTCTTGTCCTGTTTTTTCACACCTACATCATCAAAATAGCAAGTGAAATAGTGACAAATAGTGTAAAATAACAAAAACACTATCTAACACCAGTTTTTAGGTCATTTCCATTTTTAGATAATTCATTGGACTTTTTTGATTCGGCTTTACATTTTAATTTCACTGTATTTCTTTACTTTGTTTTCTTAACATCAAAGGTCAGCTTTGATAATGACACATCTGTAACATGACTCAAGCCTTGATGATTAGGTTTGTATGCCCACTGCCTTATGTAAAGTAGTGAAACATCAAAACATATTCATACGAATCTGCTATAGTTAAATACTAAATCATGTTTTGATATTAATCTGTAAATCAACAGAAGTGTAAGGTGTAGAAGCCTAGATTGAAAAATTGCCTAATCTATCAAATAGAGCAGATTCTTTTCAATGATCTGCTAATTCATGGGACACTTGATTTAGTTTGTAACACAGCATTTCTTATTTAGTAGATGATAACATTAGAAACCCATTTAAAGAGACAAATTTAACCCGGTCACTCATTTACTGACATGTTGAAATATACCTAACAACCACAAGGTGGCGATAGGTGGCCATGAACAGGCATGCAAAACCTTGTCTCTTAATAATTCCTGGTGCCGTGCTCCAAAAAGCCTTTCTTCTTTCTCATCCATGCCTTATTCAGCTCATATATTTGGCCTCCACACTGTACTCAATTTAAAAAAAAGCATGTGTTCCACTCCGAGCGGCCAACACAAGGCTGTCTTTTGAGAGAAGCTGCGGCGGAGTCAACAGTATTGATCCGAATACAGAATGATGAAAGGAAGGGGAGGCCGAGAGCAGGTGGTGGTGGGGCCAGCAGATTCGGGGATTTAGTCGCACGCCGTGGACGTATATGGACAGCGCTGTTGAGCTGAGAGGGGGACCGACACCTACTCCAAACAGATGCTCAAAGCAATGGGATGTGCCCCCATTGTCATCGGAGTGGACAGCTGAATTGTTTACCACCAAAGGGCCCTTTTCTTTAGCGGCAGGCCCGAGCACAATGGGGCCCCCGCCGCCGTGACACACTGAGGATTTCTGTAGGGGGGGGGGGTTTGGGGGGGGGGGTGAGTAAGTAGCGTGTGTTCATCGTGTAATAGGGTTTGCAGGGTACCCTCTTTTTTTTTCTTTCTCAGTGCTCAGATGGACCTCCCTGCGCCCCCATCCCCTCCACAAAGCCCCCCCCCCCCCCCCCGGCCTAAAACTACCGCAGGGCAGGGGTTTAAATGTCACGCTTGGCCATCAGAGCGCCCAGCCCCCGGCTCGTGTCTCTGGGGGGACGCACGCCAAGAGACAGGGTGACAGAGAGAGGGGAAAGCTGCGGGGAGGGAGACACTTGCCCTCGCCCCCATTGTCCATAACGATAGGCGTGAGCCGCTAACTAACTCCAAATCAAGTGTATCCTCTCACCACGCGCCCCGGCCTTGTCCAGCTCCTGCTCCGAAACAAAGCACAAAGGCCCCCTCTGTATTTTACATTTTTCCAACCACCCATAGGTGAATAGATGGTTTGGTCATGGTATGTTTGACAGATCAGCTTAAAGGAGGCTGCCGAGTCTAAATTCAGCTGGGGAGCGGAGTGATAAACGTAGTTTGTCATTTTGAGACGATGGAGATCTGTCCACACGACAAAATCAATGCTAACTTTTTGCGTTCGGTCACATAAAAGGGGACTTGAAAACGTTTAAGTGACTGGAGGGGGAATGTGGAGGTGGGTGGTGGGTGGTGGTGGTGGTGGTGGAGGGGGTTGACAGAGTGTCAAGCTGAAATACAAGTACAGGACGAAAAATATACGATTGCTGGCCAACTTTATCCCGGCCCAAGGTCTGGCCTCCACCCGCAAGACTGAGTGTTTTATGTATCTATTTGTTTCTAAATAGCGGCACACTTGACCGTGAGGGAAGACGTGTGGGCCCGCCGGACGGCCTGGGAATCATCCCTCCTGTCAGGGACGGGGGGGGGGGGGGGGGGCCCCTTGTTGCGGGGGGGGGGGGGGGGGGGGGGGGGGGGGGGGGGGAGTCACCTTGAACTGCGGCGGCGCAGGCGTAGCTGAGTGCACAAACTCATTTAACTCCCGGCTCTGCTATCGACATGCTGTAATCGTTAACATTATGGATGATGAATAACCACCGACCGCCCTCATACCTGCGCCATATGTCGGCGTGCCGGGCAGACGCGGCTCCGGCCACAACGCCATGGCTGACGGTCAGGTGACTGGAGGGCCCCATCACTTAGACTTTGGTTTTTCCACCTCATTCATTGCAACAACCCATCATCAGCGCCGGCAAAAAGCACACAGAGGTGCTTAAGGACATAGATCACTCCAGTTGCCTATATACGCCTTTCTTTTTTTCCTCATTTCTTTTTTAGCTCACATACCTCTATGTGTACTCGGGAAAACACTTAACCTCTAGCATCAGATGTTCAGGCATCTGCAGTGGATCCCCCCCCCCCCACACACACACACACACACACACACCTCCCCATCGCTCCTTTGTATTGATTGTTTTAAATGAGTGGATTTACTGTAGTATCTGAGAAACACCCAACATTGACAAAGAAATTATTATGGTCAACATTGCCAGAACTGCGGTTTATGAATTGTACATATATATATATTTTTTTTCAATTAAAAGTGAAGTCATCTATCAGAAGGTCCAGAAGCAGACATTAGAAATTGGGAAGCTTGCCTATCAAACTGGAGTGTGAACATGATGGTTTTGGTGGGGCAGTTGCTGGAATTTAACCCCAGAGCAATAGTAGAACCTAATTTTGCTTTGTGCATTTGATGTACTTTAAATGGTGTAA